CAGAAGTTCACTCATTTAAACTGTGAAATTGCTGTTTTGTTTTGCTTTGTGACTGGGGTGGTCTTATTTGATGTCAGCAGAAATTTGGTGTCTGTATGCTGCCATAGTCTCAACCATTCCACACCACTTGTCACTATACAATTGTTTGGCAATTAAGGAAAAAAATCCCAAAATGTTATGTGCCATGAAGTAATTTCTGTTAATGTAGTGATTATATGAATTAATGACCTCCAAAACATCCTACCAGTTACATCTCTTTTCAGATCTTGCAAACCAACAGCATCTTGTTAAGTTGTTCTCATTTTCTGCTGCTCTCCCCACCCCCATTATGAGTGATTTACACAGGATACCCTTTTGTGCTCACTGTCATTCACACTTGCCAAAAATAGCCCTGACAGTTGCTTTGTGTTTGGGTGAAAAATGGTTGACTGATGAAAAAAAAGTCATCTTCTGGTATTTTCCCTTGTTTGGTGTCACATGGTAGTGAATACAGTATGGTATCTGTAGACCATCCTGACTGCTGCCATTGGTATTGTCAACATTTAGGCTGCCCTTTGCTATGTAAAGCTTTCTCATGCTGATAGCGTAGCCATGATAGTGTGCAGTAATATTGGGCTATTTCCTGCCATTTTGAATCATGGATACAGAAGCACAGTATTCTATATTCATAAACTGGAGGCTTTTAAAAAGAATTGAATGTTGCTAATTGCTAGACCACTATCCCACACTTATCATCCAACAGTACATAAGTTAGACATACTTTGTTCACTTTGTTGTACAATTACATCTTCATAGAAGATTGAACCCAAGTAATTTAAATAATCTCACATCTCTTGGTTCAGTGGTGTTCAGTTTTTGTATTGTTGCTAAACTTTTATGTTAATCCTCTGATTAATGCTATTGAATGAGTCTTATTGCATTTATGGTTACAGAAGGTAAACTGGAATGAAGGGTTACCAGAACTGAGCATGAGTAGTATTGGCTTTGCTTCTTTTTTATCCTTCAACATCACTTAGGTGCTGTGCATTCTTTCAATATTTTTCTCTCTTCCCAAAAAAATTATGAGCAGGGCTATACAAATGTTGTTTAGTTTTGTAGTCCAGTTAAACAACATGTGCTTACCATGCTGTTCAGGTTGGAGATTTATTGCTAATGTCATGCAGTTCATCTGAAATAGAGTGTGAGGTTAAAGACAATCCCATATTTATTACTGCAGTTCCCAGTTTGAAGCTGGTAGGGTTGTGGTGAGCAGTCTTGAAATTGTATTGTGTAACATCACAGGGTAGAGCAAGTACCATTTGACTCTCCGTTGTTTATCTGTAGCTCAGAGGCAACTTGTTATTTTGGTACTGCACTTCTACAAGCCTCTAAACAGCTCAAAAGCAAAACTCTGGTGTGTTGCTTTTAAGGTATTGAGGTGTCTTAGAAAAGCAGCTCCAAAATAACAAGTTGCATCTAACCACAGATAAATGCTGGAGAATGAGATGGAGCTTGCTTTCAGGAAAGAAGTGATGGAGTGAAGGGAATAGTCTTTTTACTTGCACTTCGTTCAAAGTTGGAAGTAAGATGGAGTTTGTCACATTTTTCAAAGGGTAGCAGAACACTTATTATGATAAGTACTGTAAAATCTTAGACACCTCTGCATATTAAGAAAATTTCTTCTAAATGGCTGAATTATAAATCATGGGTCAGTGTTTTAATTGTAAAATGCTTGTACCCATTTGAGCTTGATTATTTAGTAAAAGTAGCTTAACGTGTTTGTGAAACATTGAGCTCAGAAGTCTAATCCATTTACCATTAATGTTGGAACTGGATTAACAGAGACAACAGGGTATGTTACAACATGGTATGTCAGAAGGACTGTTGAGCATATGCAGAATGAATTTCTGCATCCTGACTTTCCCACCCATTTAGATCTTATGAGTACAGTAGTGCCTCGCTTAACGATTACCTCGTTAAACGACAAAACCGCTTCACGGTGAAGTTTTGCGATTGCTATTGCAATTGCAAAATGATGTTCCTATGGGGGAAATTCATTTGACAATCGATTCCCTGCTTCGGGAACCGATTTTTTCGCTAGACCACGATTCTAAAACAGCTGATTGGCGGCACTAAAAATAGCCACTCGCTGTGCAAAATGGCTCCCCACTATTTTTAGCACAGATTCCTCGCTTTACAGGCACCGGAAAATGGCCGCCCTGTGGAGGATCTTTGCAAAACGAGCAGGTATTTCGTCCATTGGAACACATTGAACAGTTTTCAGTGCATTTCAGTGGGTTTTTAAAATTCGCTTGGCGATGATTTGGCTTAACAGCGATTTGAACGGAACGGATTATCCTCGTCAAGCAAGGCACCACTGTATTATGAGCAGTGGTAGAGCACATGTTTTGTATATGCAGGTAGAGCTACTTTAACCTAATCCTTGGCATTTGCACTGCAAAGGATAAAGTAACAGCCCTTCCTCCATGCTTTATACGAATCTTGCTTTACTAATTGTTGGTTCAAAATCTCTTATAATGCAATGGAATTTAAATGAAATAAGGTGCAGTTACCATGTTTGCATTCATTCATTTTAGATCTGCATTCTTCAAATATACCAGGCAGCATCTGCAGTATTCAGTGGGGCTTACTCCCACTGGAGGTGTTTACAGTATTTATTTGTCATAGTTATGGCCTGTTTTTTCTCCAATGAGCTGATGGCAGCATACTTTAGAACCCTCCTCCCTACTTCCTCCTTAACAGCATTCTGTGAAGTATGTGACAATGAGAGACACTGTAGATTTTAATAATGCAACAAGTGTAAAAATATACTAAAGCAAGGAAGTTTATGTAGTATTTATGCATGACATATTTTGAAATGTAATGAGTTCTGTTAAGTCGCTAGTTCTCTTTATCTCCATGTTTCACAGAGAGGATAAAACACTTGATATTGATTTCTTCCACCACCTACTGTGGAGGTACATTTTCACTAACATTTAATGATTTAATGTTAAGAGGTATTTTAAAATTAGCAAAGTGAATACTTTCTCTCTTTCTGTCTCATTTTATGATACTTGTGTGTTGTTAGTGGAAATTTGAATGAATTAGGATAACAAATTGCTCTTAACAATGAAGTTATTCGAATGCTGTTTTTATCTTTATATTCTGTAAGCCGCCCAAAGTAGAGTCTAGATTCTAGATGGGGTGAAGGAGAGAAGAGGAGTGCGCCGTCCTCCGAGAAAGAAAAGACCATAGAGGAGAGTGGATGTGTAGAGGGGGTACTGATTGAAATAGAGCAAGAGGAAGTGATACAGAGTAAACTGGCAGAAGTGTGTCTAGCCGACGAAGGAGGGGAGGAGCTAGATCTGATGCTGTGGGAGGATATAAGGGAGGATAAAAGAGCGCGCGTTTTCAGATTGACAACTGACGGGGAACTAGGACCTACAGTGAGTCGAGGGGTACAGACTGACCCCATGCTTGACCAAGTAGGTACGGCCGGTGTCGAAAAAGACTTTCCAAATCTACAATTGGGAGGAGGGATCCCTTAGTGCCTGGCGGCAGAGGTAGAGGGTACGATCCACTAGAATGGACTGTAGTGGTTTATCCCAGAAATCACCCTGGAGGGAGGAGAGTGATCTGCCCTGGGCCCTCTTTCCAGCAGAAGCCTCCTGAAGGGGATTGGGTCAGGCATCCGTGCTGTGGGACGGTTTGTACAGTACGGAGTGCCCCACTCAGACCGCTGACGGATCGGGAACGTTTCAGACCAGCCCCCTTTTAAGGGATTCAGAGAAATCAATGGATGTTAGACCAAAGAAATACAAGTTATTACCTGAAGCATGTTTATTAGATCCCTTTGACTCTGTTGAACTCAGTTTGGTTACTAATAAAGAAGTTATTGTTGATGTTTTAGACCAGCCTCCGCGCCTTTTTCCCACCTTTACAACTACAGTAGTGCATCCCCGGCCAAAGAAGAACCTTGTCACAATGGGGGTGGTGGTAAAAATGGAACAAACAAACAAATAACGTGCTATAAAGTAGTTTCAGACTTATAGTAGCTCTTGCAGGATTTTCTAAATATAAAGTACTCCAAAATAGTTTACTGTCCTCTCCTTCTGGTATTGTTCTGGGACCATGAGGTTGTTTGAGGCTGCACAGGTGGCAGAGAATGTCGGTCCATCAGCTGTACACACTCAGATTATAGTGCTATAGCATATACACACCTCTTCCAATAGTCACAGTAGTAATTTGAAACCCCAGCTTCTGAAACCAGTAGTAAGTGGGGTCCACCTCATTAGGGTATACCAGGTTGTTGTTACATGTCACCAAGTCAGACCAAATTTACAGTGATTTTAATAGGACTTTCAAGGTAAATGAGATATTTAAAGAGTGGTTTTACTGGTTCCACACCACCAGTTAGTTTTCATGAGTGTAGTGCAGATCTGGGCAAAGTGCGGCCCAAGAGCCACATACGGCCTGCGAGCCGCTCCTGTCCGGCCCGCCAGACATCAAAACCATTTATATCTTTTTGTCTACAGTTGAGCAGTTGCTTATCTTTAACATACTGCAAAAAACCTCTTTAGTATTTGTGAAGATTAACAAGTTTAAAATAAAAACAATCATAACGTCACTGTTTCATTTTATTTTTAGTAAAGTTGGTTCGGCCCCCGAACACAGTTCAGATTTTTCATGTGCCCCCCCAATAGAAATTAATTATCCACCCCTGCTGTAGTGGATTTGAATCTAGGCCTCCTGAGTACAGTACTAGTTTAATGCAATAAATGAAAATATATATTATTTCCAACTTCTGCTTGAATCATTAATGTAATTATGACAAAAATTATAAGGTATTTCCAAAAGGTTTTTATGAAAGCCTTTTCTGCTTCAGCGTGTTGATCCCACTGCATGTAGTTGCTAGCTAAGTCCAGATTCTGTTACACAGAATACAGATTTGTACCTTAGCAAACTGGATGTGGACATACAATTTCCAAATGTAATTTAGAGCAATTATTTATTTAAAACAGGGAATTATTAATATTGTGAAGGAATCTGTGAAGAGTATTGTTCCAACTTGGCTTCAGAGATACTTCAGACAAAGCGAAGAGGCATCCCCCGATGAACAAAGGCGATTAGAGGAGAGTATGAACTACCATCCTGCCTTCGCTGCTGCTGCTGACAATAGTATTGAAATTGATGGACGAATCACTCCTGAGCCAACAAGAATGACTTTAGAAGGTACTCTGCCCATTCTCTCCCTTTTGGACCTCTCTTTTCTAAATTATGCAAGGATTTCTCTTAAATATCAAATAGATGCTTATAAACTCCCTAATTGAAAACTGAGGAATGTCATTTTCCATAAAGTAATAGTACATTTGTTTAAAAAGTGATTTATGACACCTTGATGTATATCTTCTTGGCATTGTGATATGTTGGGTATAGTGGCCTAGATCTGATTAATAAACCCAAATTCATTAGACCCATTGTATTAATTGCAGAATGGTAAATCAATACTTACGTATATCCCCATGATACAGTAGATCTAATCTACTGGGAATTTTCACTTGCATTTAGGACTTATTTTGGCAAACTCCATTTTCCCTAGAAATTGTTACATTGTGCAGGGCAACAACTGTCATATTTGGTTCATTTTGGGTTCTTTCAGAAAGTACCTGTTTCATTTTTTTACTTTTTCATGCACCAGGCCTTTCATTTTATACAGAAGCTAAGCCTCTTTTGGCTCATTTGGCTCAGATCCCCCAATTTATGTTTCTTGCACTCAAAAAGCCCTAGATAACCCTTAAAATCCTTTAAGTCTTCTGCAGAAAAGCAGAGGCAGAGGAACTGAGAATCAGATGCAGGCAGATGTGCATGAGAAAGAAAAATTTTCATCAGACCTATGCAGGCATGACTTTATATTATCACATTCACACTCCTCTAGGGCATAGTGGCACAGTCACAGAGTCCACCTCCCTGGCCCACATTCCCTAACGAAGCAAACAGTCCCCCCAAAAATTACCAAAATGTATACCTTTAACAGAACAATACAGAGTAAATTTACCAAACAACAATTTAAAGGAACCAATCAAACAGGAACAGCACATTACACACACAGTACACTTGCAGGGGGAAAATAACAAAATAGAAAGTACACACACATCCCCCTCCCAAAAAAAGCAAGGAAGCAAAAAAAGAGAGGTAAAAATACAATCAACACATCTCTCTAAAAGAAAACTAAAACTATAATATGGGAGAATTCCCTCCCTTCTAGTAGTTCTCTCCATCAGCAGCAACAAAAATCATCCAAAGAAATAGGGAGAAATGTCTCAAAAATTGAGAAGAAAGGGTTAAAAAATGAGGAAAGGATCTAAATTGGGGACACAGAGGATGACAGGCAGGATGGAGGGCACCAGGAACTCATATATCCACAAAGAACAACTGAAGCAACACTCTTCCCTATGTTCCAACTAATATAGACCCTTTTGCAAATTCAAAATTCCCACATCCTCTTTCCTGGACACCTTATTTGATCTGACAGCAGCCCGTACAACACTATTGGATAAAGAATTTCCTGGGTGATTTGTCAGACAAAAGATGAAAGATTACATGAAAGGGGTAAAATAAAAATGCTTTCATGTACATCTCTTTTGTTAATACAAATCATTTCTGTTGTTGAGGTTCTCTTTCAGGAATTAATAAAAGAACACAAAAACATAAAAGAGATCTTTTGTGATGTAGGTCTTTTGTTAAAGCATGAAAGGCCCATCCCTAGCACAGGTCTTTGAGCCAAGTTTCTTAAACAGTATTTGCAAATTCTGAGGCTGAGGGTTCTTTTGCCAAATCTGAGTATATGGATAATCAGTCCCTAATGAACAGAAGTATTGTTTTATAGGGTGTTTTAGTTTCCATAGTATGACGCAGAGTATCAACATTATGCTTGCCATGGTTGGCTTATATTTTGGGTGTAGTATAATGTTTGAAGCAAGCAGTAACTTCACTGATTTCTACTGCTCCCTACTGCAGCCACAAGAAAGCATTGTGAATGCTCTCTGATTCCATGCAGACCATTTCCTGTGAATAGGGGAGGAGATATTGGCCTGCCTTGATCTTCTTTATATTCTTCTCTCTCTCTCTCTCTCTCTCTCTCTCTCTCTCTCACTCACACACACACACACACACACCCCAAAAAGATACTCTAATCCATTGTCAGAACTTAAAAAGTTGTTGCAGTGTTGTTTTAAAAGTGAAGTAGAACGGAAGTTTTATGATACCTTATATTGATTTTTGCTCCAAAAATGCATTAGCACTTCTTTTCAGGTCATGTTTTATTGTTTTCAAGTACAACAATCTACATTTATTCAAATACAGTCATGTCCTGTATGGTGGAGGGCGGGGTTTCACTTAACTGGGGCTTATTTTTGGGGTAGGGCTTCTGTCACAAGCATCCTGAAAAATCAAGTAGGATTTATTTTCAGGTTAGGGCTTATTTTCAAGGAAACAGGGTAGCTATCTATCAGTATTCTTTTTCTCCAGTCTGAACTGGAGACTTGGAACTGTGGAGACTTGGAACTGGTAGTCTGTTATTTTAGTGGGCAGCATACTGTATCTTCCCAATATGTAATGTACCATTGTGATTATTGGAACGAGGAAGCATCAGGCATACAATTTCCATTTCCAATTGTCTTGATAGAGAGCCACCAGAGAGAGATGCTTGTGAGTCATTTATTTAATAGAGGTAATCAGCTGTAAGTAGTAGCAAAAATGTGTTGTGTGGTGTTTTTTTTGCACATGCTTAGGTAAAGAATATTTAGATGCCATAAAATCTTCATTAAATATGTACATTTCCACATTTTGTTTAATGTGGAATTTTTCATATTATATAGTTAAGTTGTATGAAACTCTTCAAGTATTGGTATCAATTGGTATTGCAAATGTCTTTTTTACTCACTAATGTGGAAATGTCAGCTCTCTTGTTTGCGCCGTAGTAATGTAGTGGTTGGAAAAAATGTGGCAGCTATTCTCAGATGCATAGGCAAGTCTTATATGTATATGGTGTCAGATAAATTTAGCACCTATTTTTCATAGTTGAGGCTAGACGGGAGAACTGCTACTGACAGGAAGGAGCTGTTGACCTAAGAGAATACCTAAGAAAAAACTGATAAATGTTACTTTGTTTCTCTTTAGAGCCCTCAACAAGTAGCTCTACTTTAAACCTCGCAGATATTTTAACAAGACCCTCTCTCCATCGGAGTCATCTTAACTGTAATATCCTGGATTCTCCACCACCACTTTCCCAACCCTCCACATCATCTGCATTTCCAATTAGTAATTCTGGACTTTCATTTGGAAAAGAAATGAAAGATTCTACCTCTCAGCATGACGACGATAACATCTCAACCACAAGTGGTTTCTCTTCAAGGGCATCTGATAAAGGTAATAAATTTCAGTAGAATTTTTAGGATAACTTTCATATAATTTCTCCATAATAAAGCTTGATTGCTAGACTGCATCACATTTCTGTTGTCTTAGAACACTAATTCCCTATTGACATTTGTCTGCTGCACAGTTTAACACTCAGAACAAAAGCATTAATGCTCCAAAAACTATAATTTGCAAACTGTCTGTAAACTAGAAAATATAGTAGACTTGTGGAAAGCAAAAAATCTATTGATGAATTTGGAATACACATTTCATTCTGCTGTATCTAATGCAACAAAAAATTAATTGTACATCAATTTCACAATAATTTATATCTGTGTAGCAGTTTTGAGATGCTATAGTTTCATTGAGGTTGTCATTATATTGTGTCTAGGAGTCGTCCCAGCCAGGGTCTGCACATTAAAGTAATGATTAAATTTGGAAGACAGTCCCTATGGCTGCTTATAAACTCACAGCTAAGCAGAATCTCTTCAGAACAGGAGTGAGGAAATAGAATTAGGATTTTGGATCAAGTGAATAGGCTAAAATTTCCAATAATAGGAGAACAGGGGGAAACAAAATATCAGAATTGTCCTTTGAAGTTCATCACTATTTCAGGGGCACGGCACACGTGCCACAGTTTGTTTGCTTTGATAGAAGGAACACGAGTGCAGGTAGAAATTTATATTAATGTGTCCAGGTTATACTTTTGCCCCAGAGTGACTTACAAACAACTAAAAACAGAGCACAGTTAACAATAAGAAATCAAACAAACCATAACAGATATCAGCAGAGTATGTAAAACTCACAGTAACAAAAGCCAGCTGTCACACATTAATCCTGAGGAAAGAAATTTGGCACTGTAGAAAGCTCATTGAAATAGTATAGTCATTACAAGCTGTTGAAGAGGCCTCTTGGGAGGAGTTTTAAAATATAGACATCAGACTGCCCTGCATGCTCACTAGCCCATACTGAGATGATGATAAAACATACAAAAGGTACTTCTTTGAAGATTTTAAATGGATAGAATCATGTTTATCTATTCAAACATTACCTCCATATCTCTAGTTGCGTGAAGATTGCAACCATAGTTGCATAAATCTGTTGCCATATAAGACTGTAAAATTAATTAGAACTAATATTGGTTTAATTATATGCATTCAGAAAACGTTTAAACTTTCAAATATATAAGTTCTTTCAGATATAGTATAAAATGTAGTAGTGGTATAGATTTTCTCCAGAGGGTAAGCATGTCTGTTTGTGTGCTGTTACTTTTTGTGCTTCATTCTTGGATCTAGTTGGTCTTTATTCCAGGAAAACATACTCGTAGTTTATTAATGGATAAAGACCAACTGGATTCAAACAATTAAGATATGTACAAATTACCACATGTTGCTGTTATAACTATACTGCATACCACATTACATATTCTGATGAAAGGGAGAGAGAAGAATATCTCACATCGATCTCCAGATGTTCCTCTGACCCTTCTTCTCAGAGATCTATACAGTCATGGCCAAAACGATTGGCACCCTTGCAATTCTGTCAGAAAATACAACCCTTCTCTCAGAAAATTGTTGCATTTGCAAATGTTTTGGTACTCAAATGTTCATTTCTTCGGTTTGCGTTGGAAGAACACAAAAAAACAGAGAAGAAAAGTCAAATCTGATACATAAACCCAAAAATGCACGGGCCAAAATTATTGTCATCCTGTCTTAATTGTAAGAAATAATTGCTTTTCAAGCATGTGATGCTCCTTTAATTTGTATTTAGACACACCTGTCACAAGTAAGAGGTATGGGCAATATAGTAATCACGCAACCAGTTAAGATGGAGAAAAGTTGACTTAATCTTTGTGTTGTGTGTGACATTGAGCATGGAGAAAAAAATGAAGTGTAAAGAATTGTCTTTGGATTTGAGATAAAAAAATTTTTGGAAAAACATTGACAATCTCAAGGCTATAAGTCCATCTCCAGAGATCTTAACGTTCCTGTGTCCGCTGTACGCAATATGAAGAGGTTTACAGCCCATGGCACTGTAGCTAACCTCCCTGGATGTGGATGGAAGAGCAAAATTACTGAAAAATTACAACAAAGGGTTGTTTGAATGGTGGATACAGAACCCAGATTAACTTCCAAAGAAATTCAAGCTGATCTGCAGCACAGGGTACAACAGTGGCAGCTCGCACTATCATCGACATCTGAATGAAAATGGACGCTATGATAGGAGACCCAGGAGGACACCACTGTTGACACAAAGGCATAAAGCAAGACTGGAGTATGCCAAAACCTATGTGACAAAACCACAATCCTTCTGGGAGAACGTACTGTGGACAGATGAGACAAAAGTAGAGCTTTTTGGTAGAGGAGATCACAGCACTGTTTACAGAAAAAGAAATGAGGCATTCAAAGAAAAGAACACAGTCCCTACAGTCAAACATGGTGGAGGTTCAAAGATGTTTTGGGGTTGCTTTGCTGCTACTGGCGCTGGATGCCTTGAGTGTGTGAACAGTATCATGAAATCTGATGATTACCAAAGAATTTTGGGTTGCAACATAATGGCCAGTGTCAGAAAGCTGCGTCTCCACCAGATATCATGGGTCTTCCAGCAGGACAGTGACCCAAAACACACTTCAAAAAGCACTCAGAAATGGTTACAAAGCGCTGGAGAGTTCTGAAATGGCCAGCAACGAGTCCAGATCTGAATCCCATAGAACACCTGTGGAGAGATCTCAAAACAGCAGTTGGGAGAAGGCATCTGTTGCAATCCTCTCTGAAGTCCCTATCCCCCCAGGCCTTCACGAGGTTCTTGCTCTTCTTTCTTCTTCGCTGCCACCAGATATTAATGTTTTAATATCAATTGAGTATGGAGACACGTGTGTTAACAAAACACAAGTCCTTTATTTAACTAGGGAAATTGATAATCAATAAATCTTCGTGGGGTAAATCACAGGTTACAAATCACTTTCAATTGAATCAGCTTGGATCTTATTTCAAAACTATCTTAACCCTCCGCTTTAATCTTCCCTCTTATAGTCCTCTCACTCACTTTTAAAGTCACACACAGTCTCTCTCTCAGACTCCACCCACTCCCCTTTTTATTTTATTCTCCACTCCCCCTTGGCTCCGCCTTCCGTTCGCTTATTGGCTCCTGCATCAAGGTTCCGCAGTGATGGACAGGTGAGGGCAGGGCTGATCATTACATACCTGGAGCAGTTTGCAAAAGAAGAGTGGTCTAAAATTCCAGTAGAGAGACGTAAGAAGGTCATTCATGGTTACAGGAAGCGATTCATTTCAGTTACTTTTTTTCCAAATGGGGTGCTACTAAATATTAAGCTAAGGGTGCCAATAATTTTCGCCAGTGCATTTTTGGGTTTCTTTGTGGGATTGTATCAGATTTGACTTTTCTTCTCTGTTTTTTGGTGTTGTTCCAACGCAAACCAAAGAAATTTACATGTGAGTACCAAAACATTTGCAACTACAACAATTTTCTGAGAGAAGGGTTGTATTTTCTGACAGAATTGCAAGGGTGCCAATAGTTTTGGCCATGACTGTCTGTAGAAATATAGTACAGTGGTGCCTCGCACAACGAGCGCCCCGTAGAGCGATGAATTCGCTCTATGGTGACGCTTTTGCGATCGCTAATGCGATCGCAGAGCGATGACCCCAATGGGAGAAAATCGCAGAGCGAATGTCGGTAAGCAGTTCGCTTACCAACCTTCGCTTTGCAACCCGCCGATCAACTGTTCCGCGGCTTCAAAATGGCCGCCGGAACATCCAAAATGGCCACCTGCATTGTTTTTGCGCCCTGCCCTCACTTACCGAGGGCGCGAAAATGGTGGCGCTATGGGGAAACTTTGCACAACGGTGAGTTTTAGAGCCATAGGAAAGCATTTGCGAAAATGGCTGCCAGCCATCGGAGAAACATCGCTGAACGGTGAGTACAGCAGCCAATTGCAACGTTCCAATGGGCTTTTCTGCCCCGCTCAGCGATGTTTCACACAGCGAGGGTTAATCCGTGACGGATTAACCTCGCTGTGCGAGGCACCACTGTATATTTGTGTCTAAAGCTGCTTTGAGTCCTTTTCAAGAGAAAGATAAGGTATTATTATTTTAAATAAGTACATTTAAAGAAAGACAGTTTGGGCTTGTGAATAGTTGTTGTGGTTTCTCACAAATCAGATGAATGCACTCAACAATCTCTGCAAGATTTAAGATAAGAGACTGGTGAAACGTTAGGAAGAACAACCTTCAGAACACGGCCAAAGAGTCCGAAAAACCCACAACAACCATTTAAGATTGTATTTATATTTGTAACTATTGTTTACTTGTGTTATTTGCTGTCATTTGTTTTAAATACTTTTTAATAATGTAAATAAACTATTGATGCATTTCCATGCCATGTGCATGTTTATTTTTAGATATACAGGTTTCAAAAAATGCTTCAATACCACCTCTCTGGTCTACAGAGACTGAAAGACCTGTCACCCTTTCTCAGCATTCAGCCACCAGCTCTAAAAAGCCTGGATTTAATCTGTCTGCCTTTGGCGCTCTCTCCCCTGTAAGTGTAACCTTTGTTTGCTTTAAGTATGCTAGTTCTTTCTGTATTGAGTTAGCTAATGAAATACTAATTTACATTTGCAGTCACTTGGTAATGCATCAGTTCTTAAGACAAGCCAGCTTGGAAATTCTCCATTTTATCCTGGAAAAACCACATATGGTGGTGCAGCAGCAGCAGCAAGGCAATCTAAATTGCGGGTGACTCCTTATCAGGTAAGAATCATGCAGTGCTCTAGAGAAAACACGAGCACTGAAATAGGAGGGAATTATTCATTGTTCATCACACTCACAAAATTTCCTATTTGTCATTTCCCTGTCTGTATTTTTCATAGTGTACTTGTTGGCACACTATATAAATATTTAGTAATTCTAAAAGCAATGATTTTTAGTATAGTTGTAGCTGTGATGTAGACTGGAATACAAACATAACAATTTATTTTCTCTTTTTCTTAATTATGCAATTGGCTCTTTCAGCACAATGGTAAACTATGGTTCACCTATAATGCAAGGCCATCAAAGAGGCTCATGTACTCCACCTTTCCCCAATGGGGCTGTGAGGAGGTCAGAAGCATTTGCTTTCCTTTCTCAGTTTATAACATTTAAACATGACATTGGAATTGTAAATAAAAAATGATTAGATCTCAGCTATGATTCAGAGAAACATACCAACTTCAAAGGGTGGTTTAAGAAGTTAGCCTGTTTCTTTACATAATTAAGACTAAACACATTAATTGGATTTAGGCATAACAGTAAATTGTGATTAGTTAAAAATGGGAAATAAAATTAAATCCTATGGTTGTTGCGGGGCAATATGAGAAAGGAGCAATCAAGCCTGCCGTAATGCTAAATTGTAATTTGTAGAAAGAAAGTCAGTAGCTACATTCAGATGCAATATATCATGTTTTTAAAACAATTGCTAAAATCATGTTGATACAACTATACCTATGAAAAGTTGATGATATTACCAGCAGAAGGTGGTATGCAGTAATTAATAACTTCCTATTTTTGTCCATCTTTTCTAACTCCTGGGTAATCCCTTTCATAGTCTGGGAGCTCTGGAATGGAAGGAAGAAATCTTTAATTACCACTCCCTCCTGGTAACGTCGTCCAGCATCATTAAAGACATTCTCCTGCCATTTCACTGCTTTCATGACTTCCTCATGATGAGAGATTAGTGAAGTGTTGAAGAAGCTGTGGGACAGAAATAGGAAATGTTTAATTACCAAACACCTACTCCTGCTAGTTGTAATTACTCAGACATATGTTATGAAATGAAATTTCAAATGCTAAATGGGTCTAAAAATGTATAGATGCACATGCAGAACTTGAAAACATTCTTGGAAAAACTAACATGGTAGCATAATTTGAAATTGTTCTATGTATTCTATATTGTTGTTTGTTACTGAGAATTAACTAGCAGCATTGCCCCACATTTGAAAAGATGATTGATAAAAGGCGACATTGGTATTCTTGATGTTTTGCTTTTCAAGCTCTGCAAAGGGTGAAATCACACCTTACAACATTTATTTAAAAATTTTCAGACACCAGTAAGAAGACAAATGAAAGCCAAACAAGTGAATGCACAGTCATATGGAGTGACAAGTTCTACTGCACGACGCATCTTGCAATCTCTGGAGAAGATGTCAAGTCCATTAGCAGTAAATTATCCTTTTTGAAAAATTATTTTCAATATATAGTATGGCTAACAACCCATAACATGACTGTACATGTTGAGTGCATAATATAACAGAACATATCATATTGTATTAACTAACATTCTATGTAGTATACCTGTATTTTAACCTACCATAATGCTTGTTCAACAGGATGCTAAAAGAATTCCTTCTTCTGTTTCTTCTCCATTATCATCTGTAAGTTAGTTTTTGAACTTTTAATAATTCATAGAAAGTCTGTTTTTAAAATTATGCTTCAATTTTTGATTTTTTTTTTCAGCCTGTAGAAAGAAGTATGCTGAATATCACTGACTTCCAGACACCAAGGAAAAGGGTAAAATAATTTTCAATTTCAGTCCCAGTTGCCTCCTAACAATGCTACATTGATTTAGATAGTGGATGTATACATGTGATATGAAAATGTGCCATGAATTGCTGTATGCAATGTTTATGGCATTTACCAACTTCTGGTAACGATCTGTCTGCTGTTCACTTTTGATCTCTCTAACCAGAACAAGTATTACTGGAAATTTTAAAAAGAGCATTCATAAAATTAAGGGCACAGGTGATACAGTTGATAAGGACATTGCACTGAGCCTGTATGTTCTATATTTAACATTAGAGATGGGATGTTCATATTCGTCTCCTGGGGAAGATGAAGATAAATATCACTCCTACAGGTGGCTGGGTCCTTTTGACCCTCCCCCTGGAACTGGCTGGTCCACTTACCAGGCTTTGTGTGGCACACACAGCCATCATCAGTAACATTGCACCAATCATGGAAGTAGCCCGGCTGGCACTTCCCACTCCCCTATGCTGCTGACCACTCAGCAGCTGAATTGAGAGACTTGTCATCCTGCTTCCTTGCTGGAGTGGTCACTGACACAGGGAGGTGGAGAAGCGTTGGCCAGGTTACTTCTGTGATTGGCACAATGTTACTGACAGTGACCACACACACCACGTGAAACCTGGTGAGTGGACCGGGATGGTTCTGGGGCAAGGGAGCAGACCTCTGTGGCACCTTTGGTGCTGTGCTTCGTACTCATGTCCCCCAGGATATGAATACGAAGCTACCATGTCTATAACATCTTTGACAGATTAGTGTATGTCATCCAGATTTAATTGCATAGCAATGAAAACTTGAAGTATTTGTTTCCACATTAGTAATCTTAAACATTAAGGCATATGTTGCAACAGAAGTCAAAAGTCCCCATTGTTTATTCACTGTACTGTTCTTTAAAGAGAAATTGACTATATCTTGAAATGGAATAGAGGGTTTCAGCTGCTATTCCAAGAGAAGTTCAACAGATACATTCCCAATATTTTAATATCTCTTTCTGTTACTTGTAATGTTCAAAGTGTAAGCATAGTAGGTTTCAAGAGTTATATCTGTTATATCCCTTATTAAGGTATTCCAGTAACAACAAAAACAAAAGGTTAATGGCATCTTTAAGACTAACCAGTTTATTTCAGTGTGAGTTTTCATGGATTACAATCCATTTCTTCAGATACAGACTTTTGTTTTTTATTAACCTTCCCAAAATGTTCTTTTTAGAAAATAATTATACTGAGAACAATTTTGTGATGTTATGTGCCATCAAATCAGAATTGACCTGTAGTGACAAAATAATAGGGCTTTCAAGGTATTTAAGAAGAGTTTTTTCCAGTGCTCACCCCACCAGGGTTTCCATGGCTAAGAGTCATTTGAACCCAGGTCTTCTAGTCCATCACTTTATCTGCTACATCATACTGAGAATCATAGTATATCAGAATTTTTAAGAAACTGCAGATGCTTGATTTATTAATGTTCTCATCAAAAATGAGAGTAGATTCTATACAGCCTTATTGTGTTTCATCATAGCTTCCCTTCAGGCTTTCAGATTCTAATAGCAAAAGAGAAAACTATTAATAATTTTAAAAAACAGGAAGAGTAGAATATTTTTACTGCCCTACCTTTTAATTTTGTAGCCAGATAGTTTGGTTTGCCGGGTAGGTGGGGCTCGTCAGCGTTGGAAGGCAGCCCATCTAGGAGAAGATTCCAAACCTCCACTGGCTTGGGGCTATATCCACTGATGGAAAAGGCTTCAGGAGTTAACCTAGAGGCAAAATCCGGAGCTGGAGTCCCGGAGGCAGTTCGTGTCATTCTGTCATCTCCTGCAACATCACTGGAACCAGCTATATTGGCTCTTGCCTTTCTATTGGACTACTGTATTTTAGCGATGTAGAGAGGGGGGATTTGCTGCTTGAGTAACAGCCTATCCTCCAGCATATCCACCCAGGCTTTGTGCTCTGGAGAGGACATTCCAGCGTTGGAGCAAAATCAGGGAGCTGGACAGGGGAGAGATTGTATTTGTCTTCAGTGTGGAAGGGATTGTCACTCTCAAATTGGCCTTCTCAGCAACACTAGATGCTCTTCCGCATCCTCCATACAAAGCACGTTACCATAGTCTCTTGAGACTGAAGGATGCCTGCACAAGTTTGGTTAGGAATATGGAAGATCAGCCCAAGGAAGAGCAGCAAATAATATTTTACTTTAATGTCTTTTTGCATTGTCCTGGTGCATTAAACACAAGCAACAGATCTTAGAGATGTAAACAGCAAATGAATGCTCCAGCCAGCTGTCATTAAGTGTAAAAAAGAGGAATTGTCTCTGTTGTGTAGTAAATGGTTGGCAGGCAGTAATTGTTGGCCAAGATAGGTTTGCTAGAGAGGCTAGGTGCCAAAATATGTAGGCTGCCAACTATCAGCTTAAATTTCTTGAGCGGCAGTGTTAAGCATGCCAGTAGATTATATTCTCAGTGTTCTGACATTCTGATAGTGATATTATGGAAGTTTTTGTTATAATCAAATAATTGATGCTACTTTTTGGCTTGACTTAATTCAGTAATAATGAAATTTCACAGTGAATGTCATTTGGCAGTACCTTTGCAGAGATCATATGCAAACTGCTTAGACTGTTCAAGAGAGAGTTTACTTAATGGAAAACCTCTTTTCAAAATTAAGTTTTTATTAGTTTAGAATATATGCTGTGTATCAGTAACTTTGCCATTCAGTTCCTCCTTTTGCTTTATGAAGAGGGAATATTATTCCTGATAAGGACAATTAAAAATAAGGAATTGTTTTGATTTGTTTACCTCTAGATGGTAGGCATTTATGTCCAGGATATAAAGTATGGTTGGCTGTATAATTATCATATTTAAATCTATTTTTATATGGTTTGGTATGTGATGGGAGGGGGTGAGTGAAAAGCATGGAATGTTGCTAAGAATGGTCCTAATTGGCCGGGAGAGAAACTAGATAAGGAGAAGAAGTGGGTGTGTTAGATGAGTCTTGGGTCTAATGTTGAGCAGTCTGGTGTAGAGAGAATAGTGACAGAGTGGGCAGGCTATGTGGAAGGTGTTTTAAGGGCCAGGGTGAAGGATTAAATATATGGACACAGGAGAGCTAAATGCTGGTAGCAATGAAAGACAGTGAGAGGAAATAAATGAAGATTATTAAAGAAAGCATGTTTATTCCTGATCCTCAGAACTAGTTTTACTTCTCAGACTTCTTTCCACAGCAGTTAAGAGGTGGATGTAGGCATTCAGTCCTGCTACATAAGTTTAGCAGTATTTGAAATTAGATGTGGGGTTTTTGTATATGTGATTTCTCTTTTCTCAACAGTTTTGAACTTATTAAAAGATCCAGTTCTCCTCTCTTTCATCTCTCAGTAACCAGGGAAGAATGTGTAGTGGTATGCTGGGAGTAAAGCCAAAATCTTTGGGTTTTTTAGAACCATTGGTTAGTGAATGTGAATAGTCAGATGTGTTTCTTATTGATTTTAAATGTAGCTGGATAAGAGGTTTTAAAAACATATTTCAGGGTTAACATGAGAATTGATATGACTCATGCCTACTTCTGCAGAAATTAGAGCACCAAATACATTCTCTATATGTCATGATTATTTAACTAGGTTTATTCAGATCGATTTTGACTCAGTGAATGTTGCTTTCTTTAAAGGTTGAATCCCATTATCCACCAGTCCAGAAGCTTGTAACACCGAAGGCTGTGTCATTGTCAGTGAATCGTTCGCAATATTTCAAACCATCACTTACATCTACTACTGATTCAGGCAGGATTCGACAGAGAATAGAGATGAACCATAAAGTATGTATATCCCAGAGCATCCAAACATATCATTCTTAACTTCACTACACTCTCTCCTCCCTAGTGTTGTTATCATGATTTTATTTGAGCAGTTACAGTGTGGGGAAGGAATTGGAAGATTCGTCAATTATAGATTTCCCATTGACATTTTGTTCAGCATTTATTTTATTTCAGTTATAAGAGAGTACTTAGAGATTAAATCAACTAGACTGGTATCCTTTCTATTTCTTAGATGTTTACGTTACCCCCCCAAAAAAATCTGAAATAGCAATTCTCATTATATATTCTGCATTCAATTAAGTACAAACAAGTAAAAATAATGGAAGCTGTTTTTGAGTTGAAAATAATCGAACAACGTTGTCACTGAATTGTTCTTTTTTTCTCTCCACACTTTACAGCCAGGCAGATTTGTGTTTGAGGCAAGAGGGGCATAGAGCTGGTTCAAGTGGAAAAGAAATTGTTATATGGCTCTTTCTAATAGCAAGAAATAAAAATTATTAGCAGAAGTGATTATTCAGATGATACAACTAATAGAAGACAGAAAAGAAGTAGTGTAGGAAAACGCTGTGTTAAGATTTGAAAATGGAACAGTTTTTCATTTTCTAGGAATAGCACCTAAGAAAGAAATAAGTTGAAGCCTGAAAAATATTTTTCTTTACAGGCAGTGCATGAGAAGAGTATGACAGTAGAACAGCAAACAAAACCATCAGAAAGGTGTGTGAAGTTTGTGTATTGGATCTAAAGGACCTTTTACAAATGCTGTTTTGACACTCTTTGACATTGGCACTCTGAACATTTATCTTTCTTTCAAAGCAAATAATTAAGTACAGGCATATCTCGGTTTACGAGTTTAATGTGTTCTCTGGGACGTTTCGTATTGTGAAAAATTCACAAACCGGAACGTGGTTTCCCATAGGAACGCATGCATGGGGGTGGCGCTATAAACCCCCCAGGCGCAATGCATCCTGGGAAAACTTGCTTCGTATTGCGAAAAAAAGAAAAAGAAAACTGAGGCATTATTTTCAATGGATTTTCTTTCATAAACCAAAAATTACATTAACCTAGGCATTCATAAACCTAGGTATGCCTGTACACTCATAAACAGAAAAAGCTGTAAAAACATTTAGGATGATAACCAGGGTTGCGTGAATGCAAAGCTCATGCAACATACCTTTTCCTTCTTCTTGGTCTCTGTGAAACACACATATAGGTAGCACCTGCATGAAGCTCCTCAGAACATTTTAAAGCTCAAAGCAAATTAGCACAGCCCCCCTCTACTGTGCATATCTCTGTGCCTAGCAGTTATCCCTCAGTTCCCTTTAGCTGCTGCTTAGGAAACCTCTCGGAACGTGTTTCTAGAGCCTCCCCCNGTTTAAACTTCAGATCTTACCTTTGTTCACCTTACCTTTGTTTGTCTTTTTTGGTCCTTGTCCTCTTTAGCTTCCTGTGAGTTGCCTCTTTAAAAAATTCTTATTTGTTTGTCATTCCCACTCCTTGTTTGGGGTCTTCCTGCCTTTTTATGGCCTTGATGGGCCTGTTTAAAAAGTGTGTCATATGTGGCAACAAGATTCCCCTCACCGCCAAGAATTCTAAGTGTTTGCATTCTTCAGTGAATCTGAATTTAGGTAACCTACCCATGCTCCCCTCAGTCTACAATACTACTGTTCATTTGTGTCCAGTGGCAGACATGGGGAGCTGAGGGATAACTGCTAGGTGCACGAAAATGTGCAGTGGAGGGGGGCTCCCCTAATGGTCTTTTTGCTTTGAGCTCTAGAATGTTCCAGTGAGTTTCGTGTGGGCACAGAAACACTCATGTGAATTCACAGATGACTACTCAAAGAACCATAGTTACAGGTAAATGATGTGTTCTTCCTCTTTATAACCTGGAATGCCCCTTCAGAACCTGGAAGCCCCAAACTTTGTGGGTTTAGTGTTACAGGGCTGCAGAGGGTGGAGGTATCACCAAAAGATCTTTCACCCATTTTTATTGTATTTTCTCTGCCCACTACAACCCCACAAAAGGTAGACTGCAATGTTCGGTAAGTCCCTTTGACCCCCTTGGACAGACTTTTAGGAAGTTCAGGGATCTACAAGGGTGGGGAAGGGAAATACTATATGAACTTCCTTTTGTGCGGGGAAAAATGCTGAATTAACAGGTAGTAGAAATATACAAGACACAGTCCATAGATGTCTATGTCCTAATTAATCACAGGCTGTGTAAACTCACATTTTACTTTAAAAAATTAACTCCTCTGTTTAAGTGAAAAAGCTTCCCAGAGTGGTGTACAAATAAGAAAAAGTGTGCGTGCCCTCAGCATTTCAGTCTGTTCAGTTGCAGCACACAAGGAAAACTGGAATTGGAGAGAGAGTTTCAAGGCAGAATCATGTACCACTTCCGATGACGACCTGCTTTCCACCTTCTAGCCAGGAACTATGTTTGCATGTACATCCTTTTTAGTTTCTCTATTGCTTCTGACTCACTGGCTGAACTCCTGTTGCTTGGCATAGTACGTTGCTGCTAGAGTAGGCCTATTGAATCTGTGAAGATTTGGTGAGTCAGCTGTTCCATAAGTTCCATTGATTCAGTAGGCCTCCTCTAGCTGTGACTTACCGTATTAAACAACATGAGTTCAGCCAATGTGTCTGTGAAACACTGTGTCATGTCCTGATTGTCTTTTAGCAGTGGCACAAACCTCAAGTTTGGTACATCTGCTTCTAATGGTCTACCTCCTGCAGCAGGAAGTGGTGGTGGGAAGATGAGGAGGGAAAGAAGTGTCCATTATATATCAAAACCTACACAAGATGAGGTAAGAATATTTCTAAATTCTACAAGGATAAAATATTTTTAGTATGTAGAATCTGTGAAGTTGACATCCTTTATTCATAATACGAGCAGCTTTAAATGACAAAGTTGTTTATTCCCGGTGTGGTTGAATTTGCATAGTATTTTAGTCACTAACTAAGATATCTAGGAGCCCATGTTTGTGTCATGTTTCCTCAGCAGTACTGGAATATAAGACATAAGACATAAGAAATTTATTTGTCATTGCACTCACAAGTGGGTGCAACGAAATGAGGTGCTCTTCCCCAAGGTAAAACTGGACAACACCACTACAAAAAAAAAAGTTAAAAATATACACAACACTCACCATACAAATATAAATACCCCGTTTCTCCCAGCAATTAAAATTCCACCAAAAACTTATGACCCCGCATTTAAACTCAATACTGCACTTGGGTAAAAGCTGTTCTTGAATCTGCTTGTCCTTGCTTTCAATACCCTAAATCTCCTTCCTGATGGTAATAATTTAAAGAGCTGATGTCCCGGATGAGAGGAGTCTTTCAGTATGTTAGATATCTTCCTCTTACATCTGTTCTTACACAATTCTTCCAAAGAGGGGAGTGAACAGCCAATGATGTTTTGGGCCGTCTTAATCACCCTTTGAATTGCCTTTTTCTCTGCCACTGTGCAGCTCGTGAACCATACACAGAGACAGTAGGATAATATGCTTTTGAATATGTAGTTTTGATTAAGAGTATCTAGCACAGTGGCAGCAAAATCTGTTTTAGAGATGGAAGTTGATTTACCTATGCACTGTGGAGCAGGAAGAAACTGGGGGCTATAGCCTTGTGGTGCAGAGGTGCTCGGCAAAATGCTTTCCACAGGCAGTGACATCATAGCAGTTGTGGGAGTGATCCTGTATAGTTCTATGCAGTGCAAATTTATCAATAACTGAATAGGTTTTGGTAGATTTTGAGAGAGAGGTGCTTGAGCTGTGGTGTTGCAGGGGAAGTGTCTGCTTGTTGCTGTGCAGTATCAGACACTCAAGTCTTGTATTTGCAAAGTTCCATACATATATTCTGGTGCTTCTCTTTAACTTGTATGTCCTTTTTTGTAGGTTGCTATTTTTAAGTCTTTGTTTATTTTAGTAGTTATATCAGCTGTTTTTTAAGTAGTTATGTTGCTTTCATTTTTCCCCTGTAGAAATGAACTGAACCCAAGTTAAATATAGATTTCAAATTGAACTTGAAAAATAATGATATAACTCATTTCTAGGAGCTGGAGATGCCGCCACTACCAGAAATATCTTTACCCATCAGTACGTCATCTTTGCCAAACTTCAGCTTTGGCCCACTTGCTAGTACTACGGTTTCATCTTCACCAGTCAGTGCTGCACAGTCAGTAGTGAACAAGGTAAATGCATGTGACTGAAAGTTTTGCTTGCATATTCTCGTTTACATCCTCCGTACCGCGTTGTCATCAAGCCATGTCTCTTGTCCATTCAGCTGAGTTAAGTTTTCAGACTTGTAGGTATAAACTATGCCACTTCATTGATACTAAATTAATATTGTGTGTTATATATTTGTCATGTGGCATAACAGGGATGACATTACAGCAGTGCATAATTTCCTACTGCCAGAAACATTAACATGTAAGCTTTGAGTTTGCTTAGAAAAAAGGCCTGTGATCCAACAATCTTTGTCATATTCAAACTGATTTTGAAATATTGCTTATCTCTGAAATAACCCGTCATGTAACATGTAACTTATTTGTGAGAATCAGAAGTATAATACTTTAATTCTTTTTAAAAATCAGGTGCAGCCGGCCAGTAATGCTGGCAGTCCTGTGTTCAGATTTTCATCTCCAATTGTAAAATCCACTGAAGCAGAAGTGCTGCCACCAGTTTCTGTAAGTAATAATGCATGCATAACTTTGAAATGAAAGAGAAGATGGGAATGATAGAAGAAATAGCATATTTAACATTCATACGAGTATTGGAAATATAATTTTAGAAACCAACATCTACAATTTCTATTTATATGCAGGTGATACCTTTCCTTTTGACATATAGTTTTTATCTCTGTCAGGTTGGTGGCTTTAAATTTAGTGTTCCTGTTGCAAAATCATCTGATCCTTCAGGACCCAAGGATACTCCAGTATTGCCTGTGATGAATGCAGGTAAGTGATGCACTTAATGTAAACAGTTTCTTCCAGACATGAAAATCGGTGAAGATCCTGCATATGATTCCTCATTCAGAAAATGTCAGTTCTGCTCTCTATGAAAATCATGGTAAAGGTAAAGTAAAGGTTCCCCTTGACATTTTCGGTCCAGTTGTGTCCGACTTTAGGGGACGGTGCTCATCCCGCTTTTCAAGCCGTAGAGCCAGCGCCTGTCCGAAGACAGTTTTCCGTTGTCACGTGGCCAGCGTGACTAGGGAATGCCGTTTTACCTTCCCACCGAGATGGTACCTATTTATCTACTCGCATTTGCATGCTTTCAAACTGCTAGGTTGGCGAGGAGCTGGGACAAAGCGACGGGAGCTCACGCCGTTGCGTGGATTCAATCTTACAACTGCTGGTCTTCTAACCCTGCAGCACAGGCTTGTGCGGTTTAACCCACAGTGCCACCACGTCCCTATGAGCTTTGGTTAAATTTCAAAAATTATCTATTTAAATTGACACCACAAATTAATGTATTTAATATATATACACACACACACATATATAAAAGTCTCTATAAGGGTAGCAACAGTGTGCTGTATCACTTATAAAAGTGTTTTAAAACTTTGTTCTTTGCCTTGTCTTAAAGGGCTGGTTGAGAAACAGCTGCAGGTAGTTTCTTGGCTCACCTTTTAAGACAAGGCAAAGAAAAGATTTTTAAAAAAAACATTTACAAGTGATACAGCACATTTTTGCTGCCATAATAGTCTTTAAAAGTTCACTTCTGCTTTGTCAGGAACAGAGGAAGTATTTAATTTGACAGTATCCTGAAGTGGCCTTCTTACTAAGCCATTGGATGGAGCTGGACCAAACAGTGTTGTTTGAACTCTGATGGCTATGAGGATTACACCAAATGGCATATCACACCTCTATCTGATCCCAGGCAACCCTATTTAACCTGCACCAACTTGCTCTAAAAGAGTCTGTGTAGACAAGCCTTTAGATGGCTTTAAGATAAAGCTCTTAAAAGTTTTCTTTTCATGCACAGCTGTCAATAGCATCAGCAACAAGAAAGAAAAGGAGTATGACGGTCCTTTTAAGCCTGCGAAAGTCTTGAAAGAAGGAAGTGTTTTGGACATTTTAAAAAATCCTGGTAAGTCAATCTGTGACATTTTAATTAGTGTTAAAAGATGGAAAATGAGTTGTATTGACCACATCCCTCTTGATGTTGCATAACATTTGCATAAGTGATTGATGGATGAGGTGATAAACCAGGTTCTACTTGTGTGCCTAGCAACATGCCCAGTTGCGCTGCCAAGATGCACCTTTTCAGTTAGTCACAGTTATGGCACCAGCAAGTTACGCAAACTTTTTTTAAGAACAGGCTACTTTGACTAATATATAGCAGCTGAAGGTTTGCACATCTTGTGTTGAATATTTATAAAGCAGCCCAAAGCTGTTTTTCAAAAAAGTCAGCAATAACTGATGCTTAGCTTACATCGTGAAGCTATGTGTCTGAAATATTCATTAATTTCATTTCCCATACATGCAGGTCATCAGTGTCTCATGGAATATCTGCCTGGGACAGAAGTCCTGAGGAGTGGGCAACCTTTAGACCCATGGGAGCTATATTTTCTCTTCTCTACATAGGTTAAGATAGTATGTTTTCATAGTCTGGGTTGTTGTATAATACCACAAGAGTTTGTCAATTCATAAAAATCTCTTTAATCACTGGACCTGGTTTCAAACAAGCTTATTGCCAGCTTCCTGGCAATAACCAAAAAACCAGAGATTTTCAAATCAGTTGTCATAGTTATACATTGTATATTTGTAGAGTCTACATAACTCAGAATAGCATAAACTATCCAAAGGAAATGTGACTTGAAATGAAGATTGTGATCAAAGCCATAGAAGAGGGTTTTTGATTTGTAGGTACTGGAACAATTCAATAAAAATCAAACAATTCAAATTCAGGGTAATAGAGACTTCCCATTATCAGTGATCAAACAGTTTATTCATCACAAAAATCATACAGTTAATACAGTGGTGCTTCACACAACGATGTTAATTGGTTCCAAAAAAATCAACGTTGTGTGAAACACCTTCTGTGAAACACCATTTCCCATAGGAATGCATTGAAAACCGGTTAATCCGTTCCAATTGGAACGGATTGCCGTCTTTAAGTGAAAAAACCCATAGGAAACATCGTTGAGTGAAACAATGTTTCCTCCATTGGAATGTATTGAAGCCAACTCAATACATTTCAGTGGCTTTGTGAAGTCCGTTTGTGCTCATTTAAAAGTGCCTTACAATGTTTGGAACAGGTTTTAAATGCTTGCAATCGTTAGCCCACCTCCTGAACCCTATGCAAACTTAATTTGGTGTTGTTCTGAGTCTTCATTAATTTTTGGTGATGTTTTTTGTTTTCGCTATTTAAATGCATTGAACTGTCCATTCAATTGATTTAAATGGGGAAAATTTAAAAAATCACCAAAAATTAATGAAGACTCAGAACAAAACCAAATTAAGTTTGCACATGTTTCACAAGGTGCACTATGGAATCCAAGCATTTAAAACAGGTTTCAAACATTTTAAGACACTTTTAAATGAGCAAAAAGGGACATCGTTGAGTGAAATTCCCCCATAGAGAACATCGTTAAACGATGGGGGAAGTTCCTCAAAAAAACCCATTGCTGTGTGAATTCATCGTTGTATGAAGCAATCGTGCGAGGCACCACTGTATATAGTAAATGCACTTTCCTTTTGAGAAGGAGAAGATAAATACTCACAATTTTTTGGTACAGTAGAATCTTTGACATATATTGTTAACATTGTAGATTAAATTTAGTTAACCTAATCTCACAAGCTGATTAACTTCAAGGTTGATACTTGCTTTTATCAGTGATTACCTAGTTGTTTTAAAGTGCCTTGCTTCATATTCCAATAAAATATTTTCTTAGAATTCAGACTTTTTATTATTCTTTTTCCCTAGGTTTTTCTTCTCCCACCACTTTATCGACATTCTCATCATCAGCCACTCCACCTGTTGCTACAAGCACAGTTGTTTACACAAGGCCTGCAATAAGTAGTTTCTCTGGAGCCTCGGTTTCAGGACTTGGGGATTTATCAAAGAAGCAGTTGTCAGTCTCTTGGCAGTGTGATGCATGTCTCATACAAAACAAGCTGGCAGATAATAAATGTATAGCCTGTCAAGCTGCAAAAGTGCCAGCATCAGATGATACTAAGCAGGCTGGTACTTTGACTCAGAATATTACCACCAAATCGGCAGTTTCTACAACAGGGACACAGTGCTTTGGAGATAAATTTAAGACAACAGCTGGAACTTGGGATTGTGACACTTGTTTGGTCCAGAACAAAAGAGAAAGTACAAAATGTGTGGCTTGTGAAACACCAAAACCTGGAACAGGAGTAAAACAAGCTCTTGTATTGCCTTTCGTCACAGACAATGCTACACCAGTGTCTTCCTCTTCTAGCTCTGTTGATGGTTCAGTCACTTTGGGATTTGGAGACAAATTCAAGAAGCCCAAAGATGCTTGGGAGTGTTCTGTGTGTTTAGTGTCAAATAAGGCAGAGGATAGCAAATGTGTGGCCTGTCAGGCGGACAAAGCAGGTGAGTTTCAAACATGTGAGAACTGAATTGTTGAGGAAAGTGTCCCCAGCCATAGTAGTAAAAACACTTAATGTGGAGTAAACCATTGGATTTTAGGAGACTTCTCATTAAACTTATTCCTGATTTAGAACTGCACTGTCCAGCACGGTTTAGCATTTTATCCTGAAATGTGTGTGTGTGAGTAGAGAACACTTACAGATTGTCTTGCAGTGGTTCCACAGGTTGAAAGCAAAGCAGAGGAATGCTGAACAATGCACATGTTAAGTGTTCCTTTCTGTAGTCATACTATAGATCATTAGGATAGGTTCATTTTTGTATATTCTAGATATTAAGACCATGATAGATTAAGAGTAAGAAATAAAATTAGTGTCCTCCTGAACTGAAATTCTTGGAGCTGATTTAGTAAAATCAGATGGGCTGTCATAAACTCAGTTTTACTCTTGTAAGTCCCAAGAAACTATCTTTGACTACCTTCTGTGATTGAATGTTATTTTGCACGCACACACACACACACACACACAGAGAGAGAGAGAGAGAGAGAGATCCTATATATATCCTACAGAGACACAGACACAAAATTTTGTGTCTGTGTCTCTAGGATGTGTGTGTGTGTGTGTATGGATACACACACAGAGAGACACATTTTGTGTCTGTGTCTCTGTAGGATTGGGATTGTCTCTTGGTTTCCACACTCTGTTTTCTCCTGTACATAGAGGGAGTTCCCACCCCCTCCTGCAGCCCCCATGCCTGCTAAAACTCCTACTGTGGAGGACTGGGGAACCTTCTGTAGAAAATTTTTGGTGTCACAAATAATGAGGGGAATAAAACGTTAACATTACAAATACGAGCTTGGACTTAGCCCTTTGTCTTTAAACTGAAATAAAATATATCATTTCCTTTATTGTTCCTGAAATGAATAGAATGTGACAGCTGGCTCTAGCTATTTCTGATTGATTTCTTAAACAATTGGTTAAAGCACATATGATAATAAATTATTATAGTAATATGGTCTGAGGAAATGATCTCTTGGAAGTTGTCAGCTCTAGAAGAAATGAGGTTCCATTGGTTACAAAATATTTGCTAGCCAGATCAAATCCCCTCCCTCCAAGCTCAACTGGGATTGTTTATTAAGAAGTTGAAAAAATCACCCCAGTCAGTATGCAGTCAATTTCACCATAAAAATAACTGTAGGCAATAAATATATTGAAAATGTCACAAGTTGTAATACAAAAGAAAAGATCATCTGTAGTAAAATGCAACAGTAGGCATGAAGCTGCCAGAGGGAAACTAGTTATTTCATATGACTAATTAGACTTCTCCTTTGCTTTTTCCTGCAAGTTTTAGAGGGGTGTCATCAATTTTGTTTTCTGGTTTACATGCTGTGATTGTTCAGACTGAGAAAGGCTGCACCCCATAGTCCCTATGCAGTGTTTTCAGAATGACAGCAAGCTGTGAGGTAGTTAGACTTGCAAGTACCAATGCTGCCATTAACTGATACTTGTTTTTTCTCCTTCTGAAGCAGCTATTATACTGGTTTGTTTATTTAATTATTTAATTAATTAATTAATTAATATGCCCCCCACTCTACCCAGAGGTCTCTGGGTGGCTTACAATAATTAAAATTCAGTACAATAAAATGATTAAAATACAATTAAAATACAATTAAAATTGCCATCATCAGGACCCACAGTTGTTATTTCAATTAAAAGCCTTCTTATATAAAATAGTGGTATATTGAAAAGTTGCTATTTGCTAATGGCTCCTTTATATCATGTTGCTTTACTACCTAGGTGGTTCGGTGCCTGTGGTGAGTAGCAGTGCTTCTTCTTTACCAGCTCTTTCTGGAGGATTTCTGGGTTTGGACAAATTCAAGAAACCAGAGGGAAGCTGGGACTGTGAAACCTGCCTAGTACAGAACAAAGCAGATGCCACCAAGTGTGTAGCATGTGAGAGTGCAAAACCGGGCAGCAAGCCTGAACTCAAAGGTGTGTAAAAAGTGGGGAGAATGTGAATGAGCAAAGAATTCATGATTTGTGAAATTTTTTCTGTCAGTCTGAGGAAGAAGGAAGTTCTTGCATTCTGTTAACATAAGATGGGCCATGCCTGGAAGCTGCTCATATGTTACTTGTTGGATTAAAAACAGCCTAGCTTGGATGAACGCTGTATAGAAAAATACTATCTATACAGTACATTGTGTATTGCTTTTAGTGAGCTGTGCTCAGATCTGCATATCACTGTGAATGAGAGATACACATTCCAGACCCTATATGTGTTCTGTGAGAACAAATATTGTAGATAGACCTGCCATGTAAGCACATCTGTTTCACCCCATGATCCCTTAAATTATGAAAGGACTTCCTGACTCAAGTGCGCCTTGAATCCACAGCTTCTGCCTTCTGCAAAGCACATTTCCCTTTTCTGAAGTCCTTTAAACTGAGAGGGGTAATGATCCATTCCCCATTTAGAGGAGCTTGTTCTACATCCAATATATCTTAACATGATAGACTTCAACTTAACTAACAGGAAAAGTGATGTAATTCTTTTTTACGGACTTGTATAAAATATATTTGCTTTCAGTGAAATGATTTAAATATTTTTCCTTCTGCTCCTAGTGTGACACTGTCTCTTGATGTTTCTACAAATTATTTTCCAATAACACTCTTCATCCATTTTTGTATAACCTACATTAATAACACTGATAGTATTTTCAAACCTGCTGTGGAAATACATTTCTTGCTTGCCAGATTGTTCTTCACCTCTGCATTTCTTTTATCTATGACCTAGATTGAACTGTTCATGGGATTCTAGTGATTTTTTTAAACTCAGTATTAGGAGATCCTGGGAAATAGAAACATTCACATTTTCCAATGGATTTTAATGAAATTAATTAAATTCAAGGACATTGGCAAGTCTTTGGGTCTGAGTACCAAGTTTGAGTCCAGGTCTTTGGTACCAAGTAACAAGTCTGAGTCTTTAGTACCAAGTCCCGAGTCCCAATTCCGAGTCCTTGTTTAAAAAAAGCTTTTCCTCCCCCTCAAAAAAGGGAGGAGGTGGGTGGGTTCCCAGTCACGAGTTGAGTCTAAGTCATTGGGGGAGGGAAAAAACCCAAATTGAGTTAGTGATGTGACTTAAGTCTGACTAGACAGCGTATCCCGTGACTCGAGTCTACATCCGTGATTAAATCCAACCTTTTTTCACATAAAACTATTGTGAAACCATTAGGACTTGTACAGTGCAAGGTTTTTCTGCACCAGCTCTTTCCAATCCGGCAGTGGTGAATTGTAACTCTCATTGTTCCAGCTAACATGGCCATTTTCTCTTGTTGTGGATTAGGGAAGTTAACAAGCTAACACATCTGGAGGGTAGTAGACTAGGGATAATAGGTTTCTACAATGGTTTAGTTACATGTATAATGAACACATTTCTATTTTGTTTTCAGGTTTTGGTACTGCTGCTACTTCTGCCCCATCATTTTCAGCTCCATCTTCTTCAGCTCCATCTGCTCCTTCATTTAAATTTGGTATTCCATCATCATCCACAGAAACCACTCAGTTACTGGGAAATGCAGGGAAGAACTTTAAGTTTGGAGAACAAGGAGGATTCAAATTCGGTATTACGTCAGAACTGGGATCATCAGCAAATACAATGGCAGGAGGTTTTAAGTTCTCAAAAAATGAAGGGTCCAAACTGGGAAGCTTTCCTTCAGAGTCTAAATCTGAGGGCAGTAAAGATGGCAAGAATAATAGCACTTTCAATTTTGGACTTCCCTCTGGGACTAGCAGTGCATCTACTGCATCATTTCAGTTTGGAATCACTAACCTTGGACAGCAAGAGAAGAAAGAAGGACTTAACCAACCTGCTGCAGGAGGTTTTACTTTTGGGAATCTTCCTTCAGCTCCTGCAGCTGTAACTGAAAATAAAACTGGAATAAGTGGTTTCAAATTTGGAAATGCAGCGGAAAAGGAAGTTTCCTTTTCATTGAAAAAAACAGATGAGAAAAAAGATGAAATTTCTTTGGGAAAAGGTGGGTTCACTTTTGGTAAGATGGAACCTGCGACTGCCCCACCCGTTGTTCTGGGAAGGACAGATGAGAAACAGGAATCTGATATTCCTTCTAATCCATTAGTATTTGGAAAGAAAACAGAGAATGAAGATTCAAAGGCACAATCCATATTTTCATTTGGAAAGTCAGAGCAAACCAAAGATGATGGCCCAGTAAAGCCTCCATTCAGGTTTAGCCTCACAAAACCAGCAGAGAAAGAAGCAGAGCAACAGACAAAGCCAGCTTTTACTTTTGGGGCACAGGGAAGTACGGCAGGTAGGTCCAAGAGTTCTTTGCATTTTGGGGTTTAGTTATTGTAGACATCAGTTGCTTTGAAATAGCTCATTTGATTTTCTAAATTGTTGCCTTGCAAACACAGTTGTGTATAAGAAGTCTGATCGTAATGTATCCTTGTAATTATGTAATAGCCTGATAAATGTAGGCAACCCAAACCTCCACACAAGTGGCTGAGCGCACTAACGGATCTCCCACCTCAGCACCTAGGATATGCTGTAAACGCTATGAGGTGATATATAAACAGTATACTTTGCTTTAGGATAGAAACCAAGTGGCTTGCTTCTGACCCAGCACGAAAATAGAGCTCTCAGTCCAGTCTTTGTCCAGCTCCCAGCAAGCTTGTAAAAACGTGTTGCAGGGTGGCCTTTTTTACAAGCCGGTCTACATAAGACTAACCTAAATATAGCATTGATTAAATCAATCTGAGGGGAGAGTCAGCGGTAGTTCATTACACCTAGTGATCTGAAATGAATTTTATACATGTGTTCTAGTTGTAGAAAAGCAGCAATTTTTTGAATCTTATGTTTCATAGCTTGAAGTGGTGATACAGCCGGTTCTGTCCCTCACCATTAGGACTAGGATGCTGTTGTTAGTTGTGAATTTGCTAGCACTGATCCCAGTCCGTTGGAGAAGGGCATGATTAGTGGGTAGTAAAATTGTTACAGAAGCATTAAAAAGTTGATGAATGAAAATTATTCTTCATTTTAAATTATGAACTTCATAGGAGCTGAATTAAAGAAATTACAGTCAGGGAAATAATCACAGAACATCAAGGGGTTGCAGTTACTGTTTGTTATTTATTGGAAGAGGAGGAAGATTAAAAGGGGTGAGAGAATGAAGACAAAGTAAGTAGAAGATGGAAAAGGAAGGCAGAATAGGCAATGGACAACAGAAAACCATAGGCAAAGCAATGTGCAGAGCAGGTCTAATGAGGAAGGGAAATGAGAACAGAGTTTTTAAAAGCCATTATCAGGAAAACTGGTATATAGAATGTTAAACTGATGAACAATTAAGGAATTATCTCTGTTGTATTGGTAGAAAAAGACTGATCACACAGAGAAAAAATGAACATTACATGACATGACATAGGAATTAGATCAGAATAAACAGAAATACACTGAAAACTAATCCATGATACAGATACTGCAAGGGGAGAGAATACTAGGAAATATAAAGGAAAACTAGAAGGAAAACCACTGGGTTTGGGAATAGATGAAACACTGGCTTAGTGAGAGGACATCCGGTAAATCAGACAGAAGTAATGAAAGAAGAAAAGGAGCAAGATCATAGAGCAGAAGTACAAGTAGAAGGGGGAAAGCAAGGAGTGTGAAAGCAAGAAAATCGGCAAACTTGGGACCATGTACTGTCCTCATATATATTCTACCTCTTCCTATTGCCGCTTTGGCACCATGTATGGTATACTTCAGCTGCAAGATTGAGTTGAGGCTTTTCGGCTTTGGTCATGTCCTTCTAATTTTTTTTCATATCACATTGAGGAAGCGTACCTTGTTTGGAAAATGGTGGTAGTTGAACAGCTTTAATACGTATAGTTTCATGTCTTGGTACAGGTTTTGGTCCAGTTCAGACTCAGTAAACCTTGTCTGGTTTAATACTACCCAGGCAGAATGTTAGTTCAAATACGTTGTGTTTTATTAGAATATTGTGCTTGTCCACTCCCTCTTTTTCCTTCTTCTCCTATATTCTTGTGCACCATTAATGCAAAACTTCCTGAGTTGGTGAAACCACTGGGTTTTGGTTTTTTTTAATGGTCTTTGTGAATCATACATACTAGTTTTGCCTGTGCAGAAGAGGACCTTGGAATCTTCCAGAGCCCAAAGGAAAGCATTTCCTCTTCTCCCAACACTACTACTCATAACTAGACACATCCAAATGATTCTCCCTCAGTTCTCCTCTATTGTGCAAGCAGCTTCTAGAGAGACCTCTGGAGTGTTCAGCTTACTTCACAGTTGTAAATAGTTGTGGTTTTTGAATAGCTTCTTCATCTTCTTTTCATTATTATCTTTGTCTTTCTTTTAACAAAATTATTGTCAGTTTTTCTATACTGGCCTTCTCTCTTTTCTTGTCTAACCATTTTATGGCCTCTTTAAGAAATGTGCTGATTGTGGATGCAAAGTGCCACATATCAAGTGACACGATAAATGACAGCTTTGTCTGGGCAGAGGTCATATAACTTAGTACTGTAAAATTTGTAGAGTTTTTTTTGACTAGACTGCTAATACTCTGCTTTCTGGTAGCCCACAAGCAGCATAGAGACCTTTGTTACTTACTCATATAGTTATGGAACCTACAAAAAATAGTCTACCAAACAAGACTTACCTGTAAATATGTCTCAGACCACTTTGGTTTCAGAATCCAGTCTTGACACCAATGCTGAAGCCCTCAACACTGATACCAGTCAAGTGAAATAAGTCCACTGTGACTTCAGATAAACTGGACAAGTCTAAGAAATGCCCCCCCCCAAAAAAAGGGACAGAAGCTGTGAAACTGACTCGTGGCTTAGAGACTCATCTGTATCTCTTAAGGGCTCCTTACACTTGGCCACGTACCAACTCCTACAAACCCAGATAATGAAAACAACATGTGTCTTGGATGGGAGGGAGAATTGATTGGCCTTCCTTCATTATATCACATACATCTCCTTGTTCATCATCGTTCACACATCCTACCCTTCCCTCTGTCTGCCATGCTTAGTTTGAAGATTGGGCAGCAGACAGGGGAGAACAGAGAGAGAACCATTAGGGTACCTCTAGTCATGTACAGTAGCACTGGGGGAAGGAAAAATGTTTCTGTTCAGGTTCTAGAACCTAGAAGATTCTGAGGCTGGCTTCTGCAACAGGCGTGAAACCCGTATGTGTGAATTTACAGATTAACCACTCAAAGAACTACAGTTACGGGTAAGCAATTGTCCTTTCCTTTTAGGGTATGCACTTACAGATGAAGCCATAGTTCCCAGGTTCAGACATAATGGGAAATCAAAGCAGATTTGTATTATTGCATGAAAGAATCATGCAATCATATTGCTTCTTCTCATTTTAATATCCCATGATATACAGGGTATGTGCTTTAAAAAAAAGTCCCATTAAAATTGTTTATTTTGTTTAATAGTACAGAACAAAAAGGTGACAAAAATGGAATGAATTAATGTACAAAGAGACAGCCAACACTAAACCAATTCAGAGACCGGAGAAGGGAGAGAAAGACACCCTGGTTTATCAGACAGATGTTATTATATTTCAACTAGTCATTGTGTTACACAGCTGCTTCATGCCACATGGGCAAAACATGGTACAACATTTGCAGCATTTGAGTGTACATATGGATGCAGCATAAAATTCCTAAAGTTCTTTATCACATTGCAGCAATGGAAAGCCATGTTTTACATCCCCAGTAGTGCGGAGCTTGGATCAATCTTCTGTAAATATACTGAAATTGGTTTTGCTTATGTATAACTAGTTCAGCTAATATCTGTGTGTTGTTTTTGTTTATACATACTGAGAAAAGAGGATTCCATCCCCATCTATTTTTACTTATTGTGATATTCCATTTTTAAACTAATTATGTTTAACTCTTTGCTTTCAGATCCAGGATCAGCAAAGCCTACGTTCAGTTTCCTGAGCTCTAACTCATCTAATGCAGCTGTGCCAAGTGTTTCACTTGGTGGTAGTGGTGGCGGCAGCGGTGCCAGCACCAGTAGCATATTCAGCAACACAACCTCTACATCAAATCCTCCACCAAGCTTTCTGTTTGGTCAGGCCAGCAACACTGTGAGCAGCTCTGCTTTTGGTAATCCCTCTGACTCCAGTACATCACAATCCTTTGGGTTCTCTCAAGAGAGCAAGCCACCAACAACCACCTCCAGTACAGGCACCTCAGTTCCATTTCTCTTTGGTACTGTAGCCACCACTAACAGCACAGCTAATGCTGGCTTCAGTTTTGCAGCACCTACTACAACAGCACCCCCTACAGGTATGCTTAAAACTTGGAAAGAATAGCTTTGTAAGTATGCATTGAAGAAAGCTGTCATAAAATACATAAAGATGGAAATTTACAGACTATGGATAATACACCTTTCTTTTCTGGTAACAAATGCAGACATTTAAGTAATATTTAGGTAGTGTTTTCCAGCATTAGGTTGAGAGGAGTTTTCTAAGCTTTGTGTATAGATGGCCAAGGTGACATGAACCATGGATTTAACAGTCCATGACTAACTACACTGCTACACCAGCTTACTGACTCTGTTCTATGCTGCTGTCAGCTCAATTAATCAAGCACTGTATGCTTTAAAATACAGTGGTGCCTCGCTTAGCGATCGCTCAGTTGAGCAACAAAATCTCTTAGCGACACTTTTTGCGATCGCAAAAGCGATCGCTTTGCGATCTTTCCTATGGGGAAAATTCGCTTTGCGATGATCGCGGGGAAGCGATCATCGCAAAGCCCCCATTTTTGGCCAGCTGATCAGCGATTCCAAAATGGCCGCCGGGAAATAAATGATCGCCCGCTGTTTTGCCTCGCTTTAGAGGCACCGAAAATGGGCGCTGCAATGGAGACTTTTCACTTAAGGTTAGTTTGGAAGCCCATAGGAACGCATTAAACACATTTTAATGCGTTTCTATGGACTTTTTAAAATCGCTTAGCGATGTTATCGCTTTGCAGCGATTTTTGCTGCACGGATTAACATCACTAAGCGAGGCACCACTATAATTCTATTTCTTCTCCTTTCATCCAAGTCTTTTCCTCTCCCTTCTTCGTCCTATCACCACTGTGCCTGCCAGCTGGCTATATCCTAATATCTCCACTACAGTGATGCCTCGCTTAACGGGCGCTCCATTTAGCGACAAAATTGCTTAGCGACAACTTTTTCAGAGCGTTTTTGCACTTTGTTTAGTGATAGTCCCTATGGGCGATTTTCGCTTAGCGATGGTTGGGACCATGCTTCGCATAG